GCGCCAGACGATGGCAACATAAAAAAAAGAGGGAAAAGTTTGGGTCGATGCAACAGCATGTTTCGACTGCAACGCGTGTAGTGATTGTGATGGAAATGAACCAACCGTCCACAGTCTGCCACGCTTAAGCAGTCAAGACAACCCCCCCCCCCCCTTCTGAAAAAAAAATGACACGGGCAACTTCTGTTCCTCAAAATGTTCCACTTCAGGGGATTCCCAATTCAAAAAAAGCTAACAACTTGAACACTGCACATTGGGGTTGTAAACTGCGGCCAACACTCTCGCAAATTTACCGGTGCCCTTTTGTGCCGCCACTTTTCCCAATTCACCCCATTCTTTTTTGTTGAGTAAGTATCTTCACAGTTTTCAAGTCTTGATTTCGCTCGTTTCGTAAATGACAGATGAAGAAACTGCCGGACTTTCGTTTGGAGCCATTCGGATCACGTGCGACTCAATTGCCTGCTGCATGCCCGCCACCATACGGACCTTCAGTGCAATCTGTTAGCCCAGAGACGCGGCAAAATCCAGTTTCCCGGTTTGTTTTTGTGAAGAAAAACAGGAGCCTTTTAAGGTTTTGCGAGAACGCTCAATTTTTTGTCACTTTTGTATTTCAAGATTGGTTCTCGGCTACTCTTCTGTCATTTCGGGGCACATTCAAAACCCATTTCTGGCAGCATGTGGCGCACGCACAGCCTCATCATTTTATAGGGGAACGTGGAAACATTAATGATGGATTACTGCAATTTTGAGCTTTAGGCATATTTTCCACTGATAGGATTGAGTACCTTTAATATTTTGCAGACGTGCACGTCTAGACCTATTTTTTTTTTTTTTTGGGGGGGGGGGGAGGGGGTGTTGGACTAATGGTGTGATTATAAATAGATTTGGAGAAAGTATAAAGGTTTTAAAGACCTAGATTATCATTCGGTATTATCCAAAATTTCGGATGATTCGAGGAAAACTGGTCGAACTCTTGACACATCTGGAAAAAGTCCATCGCATAGAATTTGTAAATTTGTGAATTTTTGCCCTCCCCCTTTAGCCCCGCCCCAAGAACCACGCCTGCCTCTCCCAGATCTTACTGAAACTCATGCTAATAATTCACAGGTTTTTAGTGGTCATTGTTGAAGTTCAAGACACGATGTTCTTTGGAAATTTCAAGGGTTCTTCATTCGAGAACTGAACTTCCAACACACTGGACTAAAGATAAGAAGAATGGGTCTCATATCACCGAATGTGCACGATTGTAATCTATCGTTTATGCATTCAAATCAAGTGGTGCAACGCCAAGTTGTCAGATTTATCACCATTGTGTCCTACACTGGACACCCCATCGGAAGTTCGTCAATTCCGTCTTTTGAGTGACGATAAATTTAATTTCGAAAAAAAAAATCAACATTGTAATAACCACTGACCTTCGTAAATTTAAAACCTTCATCTCAACGAAGCCAGATGACTATGATGCGGTTTGGTGGTTCAGGGTTCGACTCCAATCAAAGCAGGCAGTGAAATGATCCTCCGACTGGCATTTACTACTCTGAAGCCCGGTTCATTCTCGGCGCGAAAGCGAAAGCGAACGCGAATTTGTAACGTCATGGCAAAAATTCACGCTGCGAATTCGTAAAAGTTGAACATATTTCAACTCGGCGAATTTCGCAGCGAATGTTTCATGACGTCAAATTCGCATTCGCTTTCGCATGGAGTATGAACCGGGCTTAAGTATTAAGTGGTTAAGCCCATAGAATTACAAGACACTTTCTTTAAATATTTTGCAACAGCACAGTCAAACACTGCACAGCACAAACCAACTAAGCAATGACAGCGAAGCCTAACACAACACAGCAAAGGCACAGCACAGCATAGCACCGCACAGCTCAGCAAAGCAAAGGCACAGCACCGCACAGCTCAGCAAAGCAAAGTCACAACACTACAAAGCACAGCACAGCACAGCACAGCACAGCACAGCACAGCACAACGCAGCACAACACATATACAGCACAGCACAGCACAGCACAGCAAAAGCACAACAAAGACACAACAAAGGCACGGCACGGCCCAACACAACACAACACAACACAACCCAACACAACCCAACACAACACAACCCAACACAACCCAACACAACCCAACACAACCCAACACAACCCAACACAACCCAACCCAACCCAACCCAACCCAACCCAACCCAACCCAACCCACACAACCCAACACAACACAACACAACACAACACAACACAACACAACACTGCACAGCAGAACGACGAAATTCAGCACAGCACAACACAGCACAGCACAACACAGCACAATACAGCACAGCACAACACAGCACAACTTACAGCACAGCAAAAGCACAGCAAAGACACAACAAAGGCACAGCACTGCACAACACAACACAACACAACACAGTAAAGAAAAGTACAGCACAGCACAGCACGACACATGAAGTACAACAGCAAAATGCACCACATCACAGCGCAGAACAGCAAGGCACAGCAGAACGACGAATTTCAGCACAGCACAGCACAACACAACACAACACAACACAACACAACACAACACAACACAGCAAGGTACATTCGAACGACGAATTTCAGTACAGCACAGCACGCCATACTGTCTAGCCAAATACTTGATACCACTCAAAACATTATTTGTACTTATCACCTAAGTGGTACACCAAGTGTTTTGTGCTTAACCCTTTATTTTTTAAGTTAATTATGCGCTTACCAACTTAGCATCTCACTAAATTTGGCCCCTATAAACTTGGCTGAATAAAACGAAACTAATGTAAAGTAAAAGCAAACATAAGTCGGAGGTTTTGGCCGGGGTATTTTCGTTTTCTTGCCTCGTTTTGCCTCAAACCGAAACGAAATGTCAATCTTCGTCAAGACAAGTCCTGAGACAAGTCCTGCCATATTTTGTTATTTAATGCCATAGTTATACATAATACTACATCACAATGTTGCATTATTAGGATAAAGCACCCCCTCCCCCCAAAAAAAACCGATGAAAAAAAAATAATGACAGCCAAAACCGAAGTAAATTTGAAAGAAACAGAATGATAAATTGGCAATACTTTCTGTTTGTTATTTGCATACTGATAAGCCCAATTAAAGAACTCTGCATTTCAAATGGCTCTCGGTTTTTTAAGGGGCCAAAAAAAAAAAACAGAACCTTAGGAGCGACGTCTATCCCCATGTCTGGCATAGATCGATCCATGCAGGAGCAGAAGAAAAAAATGGCAGCAAAATATGGAGAGTAAAACAAAACGAGACCCTTGGCACACAGCTCCTAATCGCTTTTGCATTGGTATGCGACTTTGAAAAATGGCGGTCTGCCCATTGAATTTCGAACATAAACACGCGCGTTTTGTTTGATGTTTGACGGCCAAACGCATGCAATGATGCAAACTCCCATAATCTCCGCTCGATTTCTACAAATGATTAGCCATTTTTATCTTCTTTTCTTCTATATCTCTTTTTTTAGGACCTTACTGGAGCTATCTAAACTCCCCAGTTAGCCCACGAGTTTATGCATATTTCGATCGCTAAAAACAAACAGCTCGCGTGGCTGAAGGGCCCTCGCTGTATTGTGCCAACCGCGGGAATTTTCTCTGGCCGGTACACCTGTTGGCGGGGAAAAAAATTATCAAGCAGGAGCAGGGCCACGTTGCTAGGGAGAAATGGCGATTGCTAGGCAGTGTTTATAGGCACCTAGGCCTTTTAATTACCTATCATGTCGAGGGAAGTGGGATGAAAGTGCTGCCATGTTTTACATGGACCCCACATTTCACGAGGTTATTGTTTCTAGACCAAGCCCATTAGCACTTCATAGACCTCAGTGCTTCAACGCCGAAAAAATTCTGGTGAAAGTATACGAGCCCTGCAATCATAAATTAACAGACCTGAGTTTTATTTTCCTTTGAACAAAAAAATTCGTATCAATGTTCTTTTTGAAGCAGACTGCACAAAGTGTAAAATATTGGGATACAATGCGGAGGTCTATAGTTTCAAATAGGGAATGGGCTGAACTGATGGTTAGGGAATGAAAAACATAAAGATCTTGGTGGTCGTCAAAAGATTCCGAAACTCCCCTTTTAATTTTTTTGGGGGAAAGTTTTCATTGTGTGTGTGTGTGTGTGGGAAGGAGGTATTTACAAAAGCTTACAGAAGAATTTGTCAAACATTGGTCCTTTACTTTGGCCCCTTTCCCTTTTCCTTTCTCACCTCAGACCCACGTTCTAGACCATCTTTACCCAAAGTGGAAGAGTCTTGAGGACAGAAAATCGAAGATTTTTTTCAAAGAGTGAATCAGTGGTATGGTATCATTTCCCCCCCTTCTGCCACCAATGGAAGGCTCCACCCCTTTCTTCTCCTCCTACCCGCTTAGACCAAACAATACATACGTACAGTCGTCACAGAATCAATAACGACATGAAATACAAGCCTGCTATTTTTGGTAAGAAATTTTTTTATTGCAATATTCAAACTTTTCCATGGATGGCGAACCTCAAATAACTGACCAGAATCAATATTTTAACGATTCAATAAAAAATTTAATCCACAAGCTTTTCATTATTAAAATCAACTCCCTTGTCACCATTTTCCCCTCAAGGTACAAAAGCAAAATTGAGATCGAGCCCCAACCAATAATTATTTCAATTACTTCATAAAAACATAATTGTGAAATAGATTCCATATTAACCAAATAAATAATTTTTGTACAAGAAATAAAATAATCTGTCTGGTAACTTATCCAATATATTACATTATATTTTTGTATCATTATTTTACATTGTATTTACAAAAAAAAAATGAATGTCTGAAATTGAAAAAGTCTAGTACGAGGCAGCAAGTCCGCCGTGTCTAAAAGTAAAGAAATGCATAAGTGGAAGCAATATATATAGTCATATATCAAAGAAATAAATTTGGTTCTAAGTGGTACCGTAGTTTTGCTTTTTGTTGGAAATATGTTGTGCACTACTTATTCTCCACATGAGATTTTTTTTGTCGCTGGCGTTGAAAAATGTCCTTGCTAAATTTTGCGTTCAGTGATTATCTTCTTTCTTATCGAATTACAAAGCAGTAAGATAAGGTTTTATATTGATATGCCCGTTCAAAGTACACAATGGAAATTTCAAAATATTATTCCAAAAACAATTACCACAGTAATAATACAAAAAAGGCGTAGTTTGAAGCACTATTACTTCTCATATAAAATTATCGAGACAAAAAATTGCAGAAACGGAACTTACAGAATGGTGTTACCTCACACAAAAAAATAGAACCATATCACGTAATGCGATTAAGAGAGAAAATTTGGTTTAGCAAAAGTTGTTACCAGAAAGGTCTGTGAAATATGTAAATTTGCGTGACGTATAAGTACATAATATTAGGCCCCTTATACCGAGCTGCAAACTACAGGAAAGATAAGCACTAAATTATCCACCGCATGCGACAATCATAATCGCTGATCACAGCTTTATGAATTGAAAAACATGCAGAGGGCTATTGCACATGTTGTGCCATTTAAAACCTTAAAAAAAAAAAAATTAAAAGCAAGCAACGAAATTCTAATGACACACTGCAAAACCTTTTGTGTTTAACATTAGCACTTGTGCATTCTGTTAGATTCTCAGATTGAATGCCAAGGTGTAATTTAAACGTTTAGCACTATGGTTTGGCAGTGTCACTTCTAAAAACAATTTATGGCACGTCGGTGAATACCTTTTTTAAAGTTAAAAAACAAAGCAGTTTGTCTATAATAATTCTTTCCGAGGATGACTCTACATCTGTGACATTATCATTGAACTCAAAGTTGCTATTCTATGGAACGTTGGCTCTGCACTACTTAAAGTTCTGAACATTTGGAAGCTTTTGATTCGGTTATCGAAAGTAATACTGTGGAATACTGTGTTGGGCTCCAATAAAAGCTGTTCGCGCGTACCTCTTTATTTTTTGTTACCTAACTGAAAAAGGGCTTTTAAAAGGTTTCATGTATCTCTTTTCATTTCAGGTAAATGCCATTTCCAAGCAGACGAAATTGGCAGTTTGGGGAACAATGGCGAACATTTTTGACATTCGTGTTCATTGTCAAACAGGTGCAAACTAGGACGAACCAATCGCTGGCAGTACTCTGAGCATGCGCGGTGACTCGCACCGGTAGTTAAGTTCAAAGACAACGTGAATCCCAACTTCGACGGAACGGCATCAACATTGGAGACAGAAGTCAACTTTTTAGCCTTTTCAGTGCCTGGAATTTACCACCTGGGTGTTTTGGAGCTTTCACATGCGCTTCAGGACTACTCACTTTACCTCCTTGTGAAGAATAACCGGTGAGTTCTTAAGGGATTAAAAAGACTAAATGTTGCAGTTCTCGGAAAGTTCATTCAAAATGGCGGCCGCGTTGGACGCACAGTAAGCAGACGTAACTCCTCGCGAGTTCTACAGATGCGTACACCACTGCCCCGTTATTGCAAGAGTTCCCACAACCGGCAAAAGACATTTTCCCTGTTCGGGAGGAAGTTAACCATCTGCTATAGCACGAGAGGCGGTGAACCTAGGTGACTGTCCAGCGAACCGTCCATGTCCATGGAAGTAAACTTGAGTTGTCGGGGGTCTTCGGGCGTCCAGACTTTGGCGGTCATGGTGTGGTTGGGCCCCGGGGAGGTTTTCTTCTCGCTGCACCACGAGAGGGAGTGTCCGGCCAAGGGTTGGAGACCCATCTCGGACGGTGATGGAGAACCTGATGCACGGAGATACAAGGTAGAAATATTTGTTTAAACTAATATTTTTGTAGATTATAATGTTAAACTATCAAAAATCGAGGGTATAATGCAACATCATGACAACTTTACCACAATGCATTATTGATGGTCAGTTTTGTTAAATCATGGATATTCCTTCCTCCATGATTAAGATAATGTAGGCCCCTTTTTGAAAAAAAATGAGAGACATTTCTATTTTGGTAAAAATGAACTAATTTTTCTTGTTAACCATCTGCTTTGTACACAACCATGCACCAAAGTAGGTCTGAATTCAATATTCTTCCCTTTATTTATTGGTGTCTGTGATACAATTTTGTAGAAAATTGTTTAATTTATTTCCAACTCTCGTTTTAAAAAATGAAAAAGCAAGTTCACTGGAAAGTGCTTACGATTATTTTACAAGCGGAATTATTTTTTTTTTTTTTAGGCTTTTGACACAACCTTCAGATGGGAATGATATTGGTTTGGAGGGTTTCTATAGAATTTTTTTGAAATTTTGTCATAAATGTAACTTGCCCGTCACAAGCACCATTTACGCGCATGTGTGCACTGAGTCTGCGCGTACGAAGACCGCCCTCAACGATTGACGAGTGGACTGGGATGAAATGAACTTTATGCTGTGGAGTTGAAGGGTAGGCCTATGTGGATTTTTAAAATTGACGTCTCCAAGGCAAAATAAGCCGTTATAATAGGATCGTATAATTATGCACAATGGCAGTCATAATTATTAGTTGATTAATTAAAGCGCCATCAACCATGAAATATTGTTTTCCCTAGCGCAAAATTTCAGAGTAATTACATGCGTGTGTTGCATACACCGGGGTAAATGGGTAATAATGATTGCCCAAAGGCATGGGCGTTCGGCATTACGAGTTCTGCTCACAAAGATATGACCTAACCAGTTGGCTCCATTAAATTCAATATTATTTTAAGAATTTTGTTGACAACAATACGTGTTCTCACCACCAGAAACCCCTTGAGTTATACCAAGGCTTTGTTTGTATATGCCGAAGTGGATATATTCTATTTTTTTTTACTTTGAGGTATTAGAATACGAAGCGACTGTCTTGGGTGGTAGGGGGAGGTGTGAATTTAATCCAAAGAGAATTACATGCCTTGGGTGTGTTGTATAAACTTGATGATGTTTTGTTACGGGTATATGAGTATTATTGCCGTGTACACGCTGAAAGGAGTTGGGACACTAATACCCGAATGTCCAGCTGCAATCTAATAGTTATGGCTAATCAGAAATGACTCCGACGACCAGTGGAAAAATAGCCCAAGGAGTTTATATTGCCGGGGCGTGGTGGGGGTCCCATCAGCCCGGGCCCGGCTGGAGCGGGCGGGCTCCGGTCGGCTGGCCGGGGGCTCTTGAACCACGAGTACCCACCACGCTGGCCGTGCGCGGCCCGCTGACCACGCGGGACGATTGGCTCTTGACTCCCGCGGCAATACCTCTGTATAGTTGACGAGGTGTGTTACACACACCACTGTGGGGCCACGTGTACGCGGGAGGGCCGGGCTTTGCTTAAGTTAAACTCTTAAGGACTTGAATAAATAGAGAGGTCAATTTGGCAGAGCACTTGAGAAACTCTTGGACAGCCCGCACGCTTTAATAGCCTACATTGTACCAGGGATGGATGATAACACAGTGCAGCCATACTGACAAAAATCTCAAAATATCACATCTGTGGATTTACTCATTAAGCGAAAGATTTGTAAACTTCTGTTTACTTTTACAATTTGGATTTAAGTAAGAACTCAGTTACGCAAAAAAGGGGAAAAGCATTTCAAATTGAAACTTATGAAAAATTCTCATCCTGTAAATAATAATTCGTTGCACGGCTGTAATTTAGTTTGTTAACGAAACTAAAGCAGGCGTTTTGGAGTGATTAGAGAGAGATTCTCGATTTTATTTTATTTTATTTTACAGTGTTTATTTCAGAATCAGTTTCCCCTCAGACTTTCGACCTTTTAGTTGGTTGTTTGTTTGTCTACTTGTCTGATTGTGCCGAAAAAAAAAATTACGGACCGTAAGAGCAACGACCTCCGCACATCTGGTCCCGCCGATGTTCTTGGGATAAAGAGAGCAACAACTCTCTTCTTTTAAACCCCGTAACCAAGACTTCATTTTCAACTTGTTACACAATTCGAGTTAAATCCATCGCGACCGCGAGAAACCCATTCACCACAATGACTGAACTACGAGTATACATGCGACTTAACGAATTACAACATTTCTTAAATGTGCGTCAGACTGCTTAAGAGAGAACCTATAGTACCCCCCCCCCCCCCCCCGCCACTAATCCTGATGTATAGGCCCAAATCCTACAACCTGTTCTAAACACCACGTTACACGAGTCAAGGAAAGAAGGGGGAATATTAAGCCTCTTTGCCCGCTGAACGTCATAAGAGCACCAGGCCCCGATAGGCTCCTACTTAACACCGACTATTGCCAAAACATGAAGCACCTCGTGAACAGTGAGTAGGGGATTAGTAAGCCGAATGCTGGCATCAAAAGGGGGTTGGACAAAACGGGAGAAGGGTACGGTGCTGTCAGGGAAGGGTAGCCGTTGTTGTTTGATGTTTGGCCCGTGTTTAGGTATTAGGGACTTTACTAGTCCGCTTTACGAGAACATAATGGGGTTCGACAGGTAGGCTTTGGGTTCTGTTCAAGCCAAAGAAGTTGTTACTCTTATTAAATAAGTCATGATTAAGGAACATCTTCTTGAGATGGTTGTTCGTCTTGTTGTTGTATTCATGATGGTAGATTAGGGCCTTATAATTTAAAGTAATGATAGCTTACTCGTTATGGTATTAGAAGCCTTTTGACTTTTGTAATCGGAAAGTAACTATTTGTAATTGCCTTTTTTCTGGTGTTCAGGGGGACATGCTCGGTCGGTTGTTGAATGAAGAGCAGTGTACAACGCTTGAAATGCACTTTGGAAGAAGGGTGCTACAAAAAATTGAAGATTTTGAGAAGGGAACACTCTTCGATTTAATGTTGAAGAAGTTGCGCAGGATGTTATGGTGAACAAGTAATTTTAAACAAACCCTATCAGGGGTCTTTTAAAGTCTCACTTTGACCTTCCGGGGCAATCTTGGTTGCCATTTCAAGATTTGGACGCAAAATTATATCACCAAGATTACTGCAACCAATTTGTAAGAGCCAACTCGTTCAAATTTGTATTTTGGTATATGTACACGTACCAACAGAGAGCAGTCATGGGCATTTGTTTTTTTTTCTTATTGTTAATTTCTTGAACTAGTTCTGCTCATGATTTTCGATACCTGTCCATCATCCGGTAGGTAATGCAATCTTGTAGTTGCCACATGTTTTAACAAGCTGACAACTTTACTCTCGATTGCCGCTGACGAGATCAACAGACTCTCGAAAATGTCACAACTGAACTTCTCACTTCGACAAGATTGTTCGTATTCCGGATAAGATGGAAAATGTTCTGCTGTCGGTCTGCCAAACTATCTCGTCAGTACAGTGACTTCAGTGTCATCATATTAGATACTCGGTTGAATCTGTTCAGTAGGCCTTTGATTATACTGTGTCCCAAGAGGCAAAGATCAAATTGAAACTCACCTCTGTGACAAATGATGACTTTCTTCTGATGTTCCTGCCCACCGTTCTGCGACCCATCCGGACTGTTGACATCCGACGTAACCATCTCGGCAAGGAAGTTGATGTATCCGATGGCCAGCTTGAGAGTATCCACCTTAGACAGTCTCTTCTCGTAGGGCAGGGTCGGGATGTGCTCCCGCAACCCCTCAAAGGCATCATTGATGGACTGCATCCGCTTCCTCTCGCGGAGGTTAGCCGCCTGTCTCTGGTGCACCTGTTGGACGGGACACTTGGCCTTCCTCCGCCGCCTCTTCACCCCCTCGTGGTGATGGTGGTGTTCGTGGGTTGCTCTCCCACGACCGTACTGCTGATGCACCGGTATGACATCACCGAACGGCGCTCGCTCGTAGCCGCCGAACAACGACGAAGGCGGCCGGTTCTCAAGCGGAATATGCTCCATATTTGTGTCCCAAAACATTGTTTTCTTACAATTCTGTCACTTCCCTTTCAAAATTAGGCCTGCGTTTTCCCGATTGTTCCAACTCCAATTAGCTCAGTATTCGATAGTCGGACTACTTCAGTTTTCTCAGAAACATGAGTGGTGGTAGTTTTGGAGAGATGTATTGAAAAAAAGGGGGAGAAGTTGAGTGTTGCAGCGGACCGTCGCTTCCTTTCTCCAAAGAGTTTGGAGTGATTAGTGGACTTGTGTTGGACACGCGCGGAAAGTTATACACAAAGTGCATATACTCGCATCGATTGGACCAACGTTCGTGCCGTACACATTTGGACGAGTCGCCGGACGGACACGCCCCTTCGTTTGTTATTCGCATAATTAACGCGCCCGGCGACCAATGAACGGGGGCGAGTCAATTGGTGATGGCGAGTCGAGTGACCATCCCCCTCTCGCCATTACTCTGATGACGTACGTCTGAAGTTTAATCAACGGTCCAAGGGGTATTATAGATTTTCAGATGCACTGTTTACCATCAATTACACTCGCGTGTTCCATAGTTTTTGTTCTGAACGATATAGATCTTGAAAATATTAATTCATAAAAAGAGAAACTCACAGAATAGATTACCAAATTTTAGTGCAAATTGTGAAGTTAATTTTCGTAGTTATCTTAAAAGATGGGCTTCAATTCAGTGGTGAAGTCTCCTGTTCTAATAAATGGGTGTGCAGAATAATTTTGCTGGTTTGTGTCTGTAAACGCGAACACTGAACTAAAACTTGAAGTCATAGTATTTGTTTTTCTAAAGATTTAGTAACCGTTACTAAAAGGGCGTTTTAAAATTAAGGGAGATCCACTGATCAAATTCAGGTTTGATTCAGAGCGATTGACTAACGAGAAAAAAAACCAATTGGTGTAACAACCAAAGGTTAATTGCAATTCATCTCGTAATCAACAAGTTTTTAGTATTTTACATGTTCTACAATTCCTTCCAAATCGCGAAAACAAAGACTGGGCCATGATGCATGCTCAATCATTAAGTGAGCGTTAGGGTTTGTCTAAAACAATACAATGTGTTTATTCAATTAATACATGTGTGAGAGACTCATTTTTACCAAAAAAAGTAACGACAAATGTTGCTCGAGAGTTGTGTGCAATCTGTACTTTTTTTAGCATATTATTATTTGTGACAAAAGATTCAATCTACAGTAAAAGAGCCGGTTAAAAAACAAACAAAAAAATCTAGGAATAAAATTGGGAAAACACTGAGCTATAAGATCATTTTCGAACCATTACAACCAACTCATTCACGTACCTCGACGCGAGCATACAAATTGAAAGTGGAAATAAATCCATTAGCAGTATTCCCTTGTCCAATTATTAGCTTTAGAATTAAAATAAACCAGCAGTAAAGAGTTCATTGTACTGAGAAAAAAAGGTTGTTTTCGCATGTGCATTTCCCATCTTTTAACAAAGAAAGCATACTTCATATCCGGTTACGCGTGCATTCGGTTTCTAAGAATCATACTCTATTGAACTTCAGGTGCAATCATTAAAAATTCATCCCTGTCCCGTATACAGTTATTCTCTCGATCAACTTTACACAAATATTATCATTTTTCCAGTGTCCAGTTGCATGGCCTGCTCTGAACTGAAGAGGTCGCTTTTGTCTTCCTTGAGCAGTGATGCGGTGCATTTTGTGTTACCAACGCTCACTGTCCAGGCATGTTCATTGGGCGTTCATTATCAGCACTGATCTTTTGCAGAAGTCCCATTGATTAGTAATTTGTGTGCGTGTGTTGTGAGACGTTAGATTGATTAGATCCGGACGACAGAGGGCGTCGTCTGCTTTGCCGGTAGTCTCGACCCGGACGGACACGCACGGTTCGTTGCGTTGTGTAGTATTGCGCTCATTTTATACCTAATGCGGCGTGAAATTAAAAAACCCCCATTAATCTCATATCATTTTCCGAACCTGGATGATTTTGGAATGAAAAATGACATAATTGTCCTTCGTGGTACTTGGTTATAATATTAACTAACATTTCTGGGGGAAACAGACTAGGCTAAGTAATAAGAGTTGATTTCCTTGCTACATATTCGATGCACTTTAATTGAAATTGTTGTAATAGCCTATGCTAATAACTGAAAACAAATATGGAATAAAAGGCTATTCAAGGGAGAATAATTTAAACACTTTTTTTCTAACATGGACACATCTTAGGTATTTTTTAATTCCATAACTGTTTTGATTCAAAACAGGATATCACAAAAGAATCATTTTCTTCCCATTTAGTCACTGATACGTATAAAACATCCACCACAACCATACCTTAATTCTCTTTTTTTCCCTATTTTTTTTGGGGGGTGAAAACAAATATTGTTGAAATTGCTGATGCAAGCGCACGTACACATATAGCGGCGATTAAATCGATACTCCCCCGCATCCGGCATAACGGGAACTGCGCGAATTGCGCCGGCATTGAGCCTCGCTAACAAACTGGAAAGGAATCAATTTTTAATTTTGCATAATTATATTAATTTCTCTCGCGTGAACTATTTAACACCTCAAGAACACACATTTGTCCGGTAGTATTCTGGCAATTCGCTTTCTTCGACACGACCTGGATTTATCTTTCTTTTTTTGAAGGATTGTTTTTGTTAGGTTTTCATGCTGTGTAAATATTGTGTAAAGTAGTTCGAGTTTCGATATTAATTCCGCCATTTTGTTTTACACGTCATTGGCAATTGGCATGCTCCGTTCATAGCAAATGCTTCATTTTGGTTGCTTCAGCACGATCTGGATTATTGTTTTTGGAAAGATTGTTTTTGTTGGGTTTTCCTGCTGTGTACGTTTTGTGTAAGATATAGTTCGGGTTTCGATATTAATTCCGCCATTTTGTTTTACACGTCATGGGCAATTGGCATGCTCCGGTCAAGATGTGTTTTTAATTTCTCGTCATTTCTGGCAGTTTCATTTTGGTTACTTCAGCACGACCTGGATTATTGTTTTTGGAAAGATTGTTTTTGTTGGGTTTTCCTGCTGTGTACGTTTTGTGTAAGATATAGTTCGGGTGTCGATATAAATTCCGCCATTTTGTTTTACACGTCATTGGCAATTGGCATGCTCCGTTCAAGATGTGTTATTAATTTCTCGTCATTTCTGGCAGTTTCATTTTGGTTACTTCAGCGCGATCTGGATTATTGTTTTTGGAAAGATTGTTTTTGTTGGGTTTTCCTGCTGTGTACGTATTGTGTAAGATATAGTTCGGGTTTCGATATTAATTCCGCCATTTTGTTTTACACGTCATTGGCAATGGGCATGCTCCGTTCAAGATGTGTTTTTAATTTCTCGCCATTTCTGGCAGTTTCATTTTGGTTATTGCAGCACGATCTGGATTATTGTTTTTGGAAAGATTGTTTTTCTTGGGTTTTCCTGCTGTGTATATTGTGTAAGATTCAGTTCGGGTTTCGATATTAATTCCGCCATTTTGTTTTACACGTCATTGGCAATGGGCATGCTCCGTTCAAGATGTGTTTTTAATATTTCGCCTTTTCTGGCAGTTTCATTTTGGTTACTTCAGCACGACCTGGATTATTGTTTTTGGAAAGATTGTTTTTGTTGGGTTTTCCTGCTGTGTACGTATTGTGTAAGATATAGTTCGGGTGTCGATATCAATTCCGCCATTTTGTTTTACACGTCATTGGCAATTGGCATGCTCCGTTCAAGATGTGTTTTTAATTTCTCGTCATTTCTGGCAGTTTCATTTTGGTTACTTCAGCGCGATCTGGATTATTGTTTTTGGAAAGATTGTTTTTGTTGGGTTTTCCTGCTGTGTACATATTGTGTAAGATATAGTTCGGGTGTCGATATTAATTCCGCCATTTTGTTTTACACGTCAGTGGCAATTGGCATGCTCCGTTCAAGATGTGTTATTAATTTCTCGTCATTTCTAGCAAATGCTTCATTTTGGTTGCTTCAGCACGACCTGGATTATTGTTTTGGGAAAGATTGTTTTTGTTGGGTTTTCCTGCTGTGTACGTATTGTGTAAGATATAGTTCGGGTTTCGATATTAATTCCGCCATTTTGTTTTACACGTCAGTGGCAATTGGCATGCTCCGTTCAAGATGTGTTATTAATTTCTCGTCATTTTTAGCAAATGCTTAAAACATGCACACGTGCCCTGTGACGTCATACTGCCAACCGACAGGCAACCAAACATCTATAAGCATCTTTGCATGCTATTTGGCCCACATTAAACATTGTGTGGAAACACTCTTAAACCACTCATATTTCAAGAGATATACATGCAGTGCGGAAGAGACCATTGGCTGAAAGATGGCATCACGTGACCACAACATCGCATTTGTAAACAAAATGGCGCATGGTCTATAGATAGTATAGAATGTAGCATTACATCAGGTTCTTGTCAAAACCTATTTCAGTTAAACTGCCAACGTGTTAAGTCCGCGAAACTGAGGAACAAAATCATATAGTGGCATTTTAAAAGACTGTCCGTGTACAAACAAAAATCACCTTCAAATTTGTTTATGAGAAATGGATTTTGTGGAGAATGTACTTGGACGGAGGTTCACTTTTTATAACAATATTATTGACCAATAAAATTCCTCCTCAATAAAATTTATTTCATGACACAGATGACGTAAAAGACCACGTGAATCTCAAAATATAGGACAAGTATCTTTCATAAAAAAACTGTTCACCATTTTATAAAGTTCTTTTAAACTAACCGATATTTTTTTTTTAAAGTGCATTTGTATGAAATTGCTGAAAGGCACCGCCATAGCAATTTGCCATACAATAAGCCGCGATCACCATATCAAAACAACTTTAATTACATGTGTTCGGGTTCATTTTGATGGCATTAAGTGAGAAATTGATTTTAGTCGACAATGACCAGTCCAGATGTTAAGCAATTAACATATTACGATTTCAATTCGTTCGGTCTGATTCTATACCGACGCAGCCGCCCAGAACAAGGCGAGATATTGTGACCTTACATGCCTGATCCTTTGAACCCCCAAAAAACAATGCAACAAAAGCAATATACACGCGCTGGGAATCCATCATCATTACAAATCATTCGATAATACAACTGCGTATAAATTAAGAGTTAACGTTGGTCGTGATACTTCTACCGTACATATTAAAACTTCCTCTGTTTTTCTCCCTTGATTCTTGTTACATGAACCGCATTTCTTGTTCGGTGTTTCAGTCGGGGTCTAGGCCACCCGATGTTCCGCAACTAAGTACCTATGTTCCCCAATACT